CTACCACAAGATCTTGCACATATTTCCCTGTGCTATACAGTATAATCTTGTTTATCTATTCTGCATATGTCTGTCAGTATCTACAAACTTTGAAATCCCAGTGAAAGAAAATTTCTTTATAAGGCATTTAACCAGTTCCATCACAATCTCAAGGCAATTTAGCTTGGATTTTAACTTCAAAAAGCCAAAATTAACACATGGATTTGAATTAAGACTTGTTACTTTGTTGAATGGACCAAACCCGTCAATCCTTATGTTAATGATTAAGCTCAATTTAACTTCCATTCTTTCATTCAGAAAAGACACAGAGCATCTATTAGATGCCAAGAACACCAAGAAATTAGTAAGTTAAGCTCTAAATATCATAGTTCATATTTAGGATGAGATAACTTTTATTTGCTTTAAGTGAAAATATAGAGTAATCCAAAGGAGTATTATAAACAATATTGATGAAAAAGTGTGAGAGATATGAAATTTTCACCTAAGACTAATTTACCTGATTCGGTTTATTCCTTATACTCTTCAGTTTGCATTCTAGTGCTCGGACAGTGTTTTCAAGTTGTTGGTTCAGGTAAACTTGCTCACTGTATTGTTTCTCTTTTCTTTTTAAATCATCCTTAGTGTTTTCATATAACATATAATAATTTTTCTTCTTCTTTGTTTCTTGTTTTAACATGAATCTGTAGCGAAATATGCTTACCTTAAAATTTATTTTGTTAGAAAATAAGTTCACTTTATGATCTGGTTCTTCACATGCTGATTTATTACCCTAATGGAATTTCTATGTTCTCAGTTTTTTTTTTTTCATTTCTAAGTCTCACATTTTAAGTTCCTCACTTCAATCTCTTCATAAAGATAGATAAGATGAAAAGTAGCAATGAAAAGACATAATGCTAACTGAGTTTCAGTAAAGAGTAACTCTGGTGAATAGTGTAGGAAAGAAATTTTGCAATTATTCAGTAAGATTTGAGTTGAAAATTACCCTTTGTCCCCCACATAGTCATAAATTACTCCTTCATTAGGACAGAGAATTTAGTTACTAATTAAAAGAGAAGTTGCTATTTAGAAACAAGTTTATAAGTTCATGAGAGATAAAATTTCAACTTCATGAAGTATTACAGGGAATCCTAAATGACCTCTAGTGGAAGGTAACATCCGCAGGCGTCTTTCCCAGAGCACAGATCTGCTAATTAGTATAATCCAAGGCGAGGCTGGGGAGTCTACTACCTGATGCCCTACACTTTATGTTTCTTCTTTTGCAACACTTTGAACTTACCTTGTTGAATATTACTTATTTAGTAAATCATTTTTAAATCCCTTTTGGTACAAGGCAGGATCCATATTAAGTAATTAAAAAATAAAGACTAGTCCGTGCTTTCAGCATAGACCTTTGAACTAATCTTATCTCTGTATGAGAGAGATGCTGAATAAACTAACCAGTAATCACTTTCCACTTTACTTTTTAGTCCATTCATTCATATGTTAAGAATCAAACTGCATAAAATTTTTTTAAAGTTTCTGCCTTGAGAAAAATGGTAATTTCATAATTCTGCAAGTGGGAATGTAAAGTAATACAAACTTTCTGGAGGACAATTGAGAGATAAGGATCACAGATTTTTTTTTAAAGAAATATAGAATGAGGAGAGATACATATATATCGCTGTTATTTCCAAGAGTCTCATATTTCACAATATTAATGAAATTTTCTCCCCTGTAAAATCCCAAAAGGTCAGTTAGCAATGATAAGACTTCTCCTACATATCTACAGTGTTAAAGTAAAGATGAGTTCAAATATTTCTTTAAAACCAAGAAATTCAGTACCTCATGCTGCAGAGCTCTCGTTCACACTCCACATTTTGAAGTTTTAACTGTGATTTTGCTTCTCTTGTTTTCAACAGCTCTGTTTGTAGCCAGTTCACCTTATTTTCCATTTCTTTAATTTTTCCTCTAAGTAGTTCATAGTCAGATTCTTTCGGTTCTATTGATCTGAATGAATGAACTGGATCCTGAATTTTCAATAACCTATCAGAATCTGCATTAGGAAGAAAACAAAAATAGAAACAAAATGTATGAATAATTTTTGTGTATAAAGTACTGTGCATTTTCACATTCATTCATCCATACATTGAACAAATGGATATTGAGCACCTATAACGTGGAAGACATTCTTCTAAGCTCTGCAGATATTAAAAGAATGACAAAGTAATATTATGAACATTATGCAAATAAATTTGACAATTCAGATGAAGTGAGTAAAATTCCTTTAAAGAGCGAAATTACAAAAGCTCAATTAAGAAAGAACTAATAAGCTAAAAAGCCCTATATCTTAAAAACCAAAACAAAAGCCGTATTTAAAGACCTTATGACAAAGACAATTCCAGTCCCAATGGTTACACTGGTGAATTCCACCAAATATTTCAGGAAAGTTTAATACCAATTCTACACAAATTCTCCTCAAAAAATGAAGAGGAAGAAATAGGTCCTCATTCTATAAAACTAACATTACCCTGAATCCAAAACCAGACAAAGATATTACCAGAAAGAAAACTAATCTCATGAAAATGGAGGTAAAAATTCTAAACAAAACATTAGCAAGTTAAATCCAAGAATACAGGATAATTCATCACGATCAAGTGGGGTGTATCCCAAGAATGCAGGGCTGTTTTAACATGTAGAAATCAATGTTATTCATCATATTAACAAACTAAAAAAGAAACCATATGATCATGTCAGTGGATAAAAGAGGCACTTGCCAAACCTCAACATCTATTCCTAATAAAAACTTCCAGCAAACTAGGAACCAAGGGAA